AGATATCTCAAAATTTTGATTATGAAACCACCTTTTGGCTTCTAACAAAAAAAAAAATTCCTTGTGAAATTTTGGTATAGGCTATATCTTGCCTAATTCCAAACCCACTTTTACTCTAACCATAAGAGATGGTTTAATTTTTCGTTTGTAAAAATTGTTCTGACGCATGTTACACAAATTTGTAATTCAATAACGATAAATTATTATCCGTGTATAAACACTGTGTAAACTAATAAATTTTCTATTTAGAAACTATATTTAAATAGCATTATATCTAGTATTTGTAAAATTATTAGTCTAATGTATAGTATTTTGCAAAAATAATATATATATTATAAAATCCATTTATTATTTACTATGTATCGGTATATAGCTTATATTACTTTTTAAAGTTTATATTCTTTTTAGTTTATTACAAAGTACTTACAATTTTATAGAATAAAGCAAAATATTATTTATATTAATAGAAAATTTCTTGGTACACGGGTACGTATTAATCCGTAGTTTGCAAATCGTGTAACATGCAAATTTACGAATGAAAAATTAAATCCTTGGTTAGGGTAAGAGTTGGTTTGGGATTGGCGAGGTATAGTTTATACCAAAATTTCTCTAGGAATTTTTTTTTACTAGAAACCAAAAGGTGATTTCATAATCAAAACTTTGAGATATCGGTTGGTTTCTATATTGCCCGTGTATATACACTGTCATGGGCAAAACGTGACCTCAAGACCGTGACTAATAAATGCGAAACGATGCACGTTTGACCTACGGATCGTTACGCAAGAGATCGATGTACTGCAATGCCCCGGGACCCGATTTACAAACGACGATCGCATGCAAGCAAACCTGTTCAAACCAGGCCCTCTGAATTAAAGCATTAACGGAGATCTTATGAAAGCCAAGCCCCCATCAACGATCCCATTGAAGAAAAAGACACTTACCCGATTCGATATGACATCTGTCAAGGCAATATTACCTTGTAGGGTAAGGTGTGGCCGTGAAGAAGAAAAAGCATATGAATCGATGGAAGAATCAATAAATGAATTAATGGAATTGACAGGTAAAGAACTATAACAGCGTAGAAGCCCTCATTTGACTTGCCTTCTTTTTCCATTCCGTCGAACGTTTCAATGAGAATGGCTGTGTATAAGGAGTAGGGCATTAGACTAGAATAGTTGTTTGGCTAAAGTTTAATGGCAGTATAATGAAAAAAGAAGATGGGAATTAAATTAGAATTTTCGAATTGTTTTTTTCTTGACCTGTAGTTTCGTTATAAATAAGAGGTCAAATCGTTCTTGTAAATTTAGTTGTTGACCATGCATAATTGCCCCCTACATAATAAATAACAAAAAGCCCTTGTGTTAATAAACTGTCACGCTCTTTAAGTTGTCAAATCACCCTAAGTCATAATAAATACTCAACTATCACTTTAGACCTTGCCAAGTTGATTCCACCTCAACCTATTGAGTAAGACCCAATTGACGCTTTGTTGTGTGTGTGTGGGTTTGTTCATTTAGCCCATGACAATTTGGTGGTGACTGTAAGATCCGAAAGCAGAACTGTAATGATGCTGACTACCCCTTCCCTGTTACAAAATTGATTGTTTTTTTTTTTTTTTTGAAATTAAGGACCAATGTACCAAGTCCAAATTGATTATTTTTTTTTTTTGTGTGAATTTCTTGTTGTAGACTGACGGACTGTGTTCATTTGTGTTTACTTTGTGATAATTTTTTTTGAGAATTGAATTGTTTTTTTAAGAAGTTGTATTTTTAGAACCAACGTATTGAGTTCACCCAAAACTATTGCTGCAACCCTTATCGTCATATTACGATTCCCTGGCTCCCCTCCTCTCACAAGTTGTAATTATTGTAATTACTATCGAATATAAGACCAGTCAGTTGAAACCTAAAAATTTCAAAATAGAAATAAGTACAATGCCAAAAAAAAAAGAGGAAAAAGAATAGATATATATCCGATCAGAGTAATCTAAAAACAGAAAAACTGCTTAAAGTGAAAAGTAATCAACAAATAAACTTCAAAAGACCATATAAATAAACCTTGAAATAAAAATTGATTTCACCTTTTCTAGTAACCTTGCAACTACCGTATACTGCAACCCACCTTAAAAATAAGTAATAAAAAGACACCATGGACTAACAAGATATTTGCCAAATCAACAATGATAACCTCTTCCCAACTAAGAAAATGATGAAGACCAACGATCGGAATATAGCAATAGAAGTAAAACTCCTGTCGATAATTACTCTATATATCTTGAAAGAAATAATGGTAGAAATAATGAAAACCTGAACCCATATCAGAACCAGAATGCCCTCCAAGCAGTTTTAAGAAAAATAGCTAACGCTTTCAAAAATGCTACTGCTGAACCTGCTGCTTCCCCAAGAGCTTCTGTTTATAAAACTAACTTAGTATGTATAGAACCATTTTTTGGTACTGAGAAAGAGGATCCTCTCAAATGGGTCGAACTGTTCAATTAAGCAGCTGATGTGAATAATTAGACTTCCAGAAGAAAGATCAAGATAGCCTCTAAGTATCTGCGAGATGTTGTCGTCAACTAGTATGATAGGGTTAAAAAACTATTAGAATTCTGGGATAATAAAAATAAGCCTGAAGCAAGCTTCATCTTTTACTTTACACAATACTTTGCTATACCCAAATGATGCTATAAATGGCAAGTAGATTTAAATTTGCAGCACAATGAGAGAATAAGCAAATCAATTCATATGCGTTCAAATTCAAAAAACTTTTGAGAAGAGTCGATCTAGAACACCTGTTGCCCCAACCGTATATAGTACAAATATTCTTAGGAGGCTTAAAACCAAAAACCGCCTTATGGTTAAGTATCGCCGAACCTCCTACATTGGAAAAAGCTATACTTGGTGCTCGTAAAATCGAAGCTAGAGAATATTATAATAGTAAAAGTGAGAAGAAGCCTCAAAATATTAAGAAATTGGAGATAGACCTTGATAGCCTAAACTGTCAAATGCAAAATTAATAACTGCCCTTACCTTGACTATGAAAACTGCATCCCCAAGATCCACCCCCAAATAACAATAATTGTAATAATAATAATAATAATGGTACCTCTCATATTGTCTGTTACTATTATAGAGAATCTAGCCACATCTCTTGCTATTGTATATCAGAAAGAACCTAAAATCAAAGCCAAAATTAGGGCCAACCCACCTAAAATAACCTAACCAACCAGCCTACCCGTATCCTACCAAGACTTGGCAATATTAATTTTTATGAAATTGAATTGGATAAAGGATACGAGCCTGAAGTCGAAAAAAAAGCCTTTGTAACCTCTGTGGCCTGTGATCAACCATATTATATCTAAAGACCAAAGGAACAATATTCTAAATGATTGGAGGATAAAACAGAAGAAAGATATAGGTTTATCCTACCCCGATCAGAAATCCTAGTTCTACTTCCAGTAAATATGAACCCTTCACAACCTATATCTCAAGCTCTGGTAGTACTACCAGTTAATATAAACCTATCACTGGTACCAAAAGTCCCAGTAGTCCCTCCTGCAAGACTTCAATGAAAGAGAGGTCCCTTTATAATTGATCAATTGAAATCGTATAATGTGGCTAAAGACATTATGAGCCTAAGGGCTAATATATCAGTTGGACAAATATTATAGTATCCAAATCAAAAACAGAAGTTGGCTAAAGTGATGAGAAAGCTGTTGCCTCCATTAGAACTGTCTGTTGCATCCCCGAGACTATGCAAACCAATATTACTCAGAATCAAATGAATAGAAGAACCATCGCTGTCTGCTACTATGTAAGGATAAAGAATAATCCTGTAATCACTGTTTTAGACTCTGGTACAGCCATGAGTATCTTATCTAATAAAATGATAGAAAAACTACAATTAAAGATTACTGAACTTTCTAATACTATCCCTTAAACCGTCCATTTAAGCAGGCAAATTTGCCCGCTTAAATTGTTAAACAATTTTTAAATAGAATAAAAAAAAAAATTATGAAAATCTTTGCTTAAA